TTATGTATGTGTTCAATATCTCTATCGAACAATTTGTCTAAATTTTCCCCATTGATCAGTAAGTTGCATTTCGTTAAATATGCATTAATTGTTTAACTATTGGTAGGATTGTCAAATATTTGGTAAGTATATTGAACATTATTTCCTCCTTTGTCTGTTGCTATGGATTTGCGGTAATCATGAAACTTGAAAATAGGATTGTTAAAATATTGCTCCAAAGAATATATGAATAATTCGAAAGATATGGTGTCCATTTTGATGGTAACGCCACCGCAAGTGTAAGCATACTCTATTACAGATCTTTTAGTACTTTCGAGCTCCTTTTTCAGTGATTTTTCTACATTAAGTGTGTAGTAGTTGTTATAACTACTTTGTGCAAGTACATGTGCACTGTCCAAGTTGTTTTTTTGTGTATATTATTAACTTTATATTGTTGGATATCCATCTTTAAAATTCTGATTACTTATAAAGTAAATGATAAGAAAGTTGTAATATTCAATATAATTATTATATGACCATCAAAATATTTATTGCGAGTACTGTTGGGACGTTGTGGTAAGTCCCACCATCGCCCTATACAGTTTTTAGTGTAAAATAGAATGTAGATTTGTTGTTTATTAAAATTTAAATAGAACTAATTTGTCTATAATAATATATTTTTACCAACAGTCAAATTTGATTCTGTGAGCTAATTTACGGAGCCATACTCTAGCTAGCGCACTTTTTGGATGAATGCCATCAAGGTATAAATTGAAGTTATATAAGTCTCTACCATACCTGTGTGTGTTTTTCGAGTTGCATGCAATTGAATGATAAATATCGGCTGAAAAGCTTGGTGATCTTGTCGAATGCTCGTTGTTTAAAGCTCTTATCTGGTCATTTACAACTAGAATTTGTTTAATTAATGTATTGTCGTCTGCTTTAAATCTGTTGGGATCAGGATGATCGTGAAGCCGGTTCCAAACGTATATAGAAAATATGGGTATTTCAAGAAATGTGAGTTCACAACCGGGATATTCAGACAGAAGGGTTACAAATTCTTTGAGATTATTTATAAGTTGTGTAGCAGCTTCCTCAGGGTTATCTCTGAGTGTGATAACCTTATCAGGACGACTATAATCTGTAATGTCGCAAGTACCCAACCACACGTAAAGGGAAATATTGTCAAGATGACCAATTTTTGAAGCCAAATTGTCTTTTAGCCAAGCAAGATGAAATTACAGATCAACAGATAAGAGATGTAGCTAGAGTTACTTGATTGAGGACAACACACATGAAACATCAAAGACAGTCAAATTGGTCATGGTTCTTTTTATCTAACAATAGAGATCAGTAGGGAACTTTTGACGAGCTTTAACTATGGGTTTATATATCTATGGTTTTATCATAACAAATGGAAAAAAAATGTCTGTATTGCCACCTTATAAATTAAATGTTGACCGTGTTTTAGTGAAATTACCAATACCTGCGTGTAAACTGGAGATGTCTGGAAGCTTCACCATATTTCAACTGATCTCGCGCGGTCGACTATCACAACCAAATGTGCGGTCTTTTTTGAGTAAAATCTTGACTGTTAATTCGTCTGTTTCAAATTTCTTCTCCTCACAGTTGGTCAGTCAATTTCCTTCCACTTCCAGCCATGCTTTCCACGTTGTTCACCGCCGGGGTTTACCGTTAATCATAAAGGGTGGTAAATTAAAATGAGACACTTTGACGAGGTAAGTAAAGAGAGATAACTCCTGCGTAATGAAGACGACGCTTCAACGATAAAAAAATATCTGCTTATCTCCAAATTGATTCATAACATTTAATGTAAAAAAATCGATACTATACAGTTTATTAGAATAGTTTGAGACCGTGTTTAAAGTCATCTGACAACCATTGAGAGAGAATTGTATCAATTTCGGTGCTGACGGTAACTGGTCTTCGGTATCTTCAAATTTCGTACGAAATCGGACGCCGTAAAAAGTTAATTTCACGAAAATTTGGTCAATATTAAACACTGACCAATTGACATATTAAAGTAATTTTGGTAACCACTTTCCTTGTCAAAGGATAGATTTAAATATTCTCATGTTAAGAAGATAAATGAAATATACTGACAAAAAGTGACGATAACTGGTCTTTTTTTAATCTTGTCATCTCATTTACATGAATGCGAATATTTTCGTTCTACTAAAAAATAATTTAAATGTTGAAAAGGTTCAAACTCTATCTGGCAAAGTTGACTTTTGACGAATTTGGCTATTCTTCTGAGATCACCTTTTGGTAAAAAAAAAAAGCTCCTAACATTTCTACGTTTTTATTCATTGACTTTTAATGTTTCTGTTTGATCATTCATGACGGAGGTATATCTAGAAAAACCCTTCGGATGCATGAAACTTATTAAGTGTTATTTTCATTTATAAATGTCCATCGCCTATAATAAATGCCTTTTGTGTACATGTATGTCTGGTAGTGTTATAGATAAGGAAAGTAAAAGCAAATGTCCTTTTTATAGGGAATCCCTAAAAAGTATTTGAACTAATCGTTGATTTCTTTTGATATAATACATTTATATGGTTGATATATAATTTTGATAACATGGACAAAGTACTGTACGTACTTAGAATTCATGTCACGATGTACACTTAGTCATGTTATTTACACTTAAAGTTCTCGAGCAAGTCAAGTTTTCTTATGTTATTTTTAGTTTGAATCTAAGTGACATGCTTTTTATAGCATGCAGATCTATTTTTAAATTATTATAATTTTCTTATTCTTGATAAAAGTTGAAAACTTTCATATTTTGAGACGCTAAAGGGTGGCTCTAGGTTACGAAAATACAGCTGAATCTCGGAACAGTGTGTGTTTTTAATGTTTAAATTAATCGTACTTTTAGTATATAAATCTTTTAGACGAAATCTAACATTTCTAAATCAGTGCCAATATAATTGGGTGCACGCTGATTATTGTAATAATTTTACTTCCTTTAAATCCATCCCTAACTTTAACAGGTAACTTAGGTTTATGACTTTCTTAATATACCACTTCAATACTTCCTAAGAAGGTTTAAAAATAGCATTACACTTACTGGAAATCCGACTGATAAAAATATAAGTGTGACTTCGTACAAAAATGCACAAGGGTAGAAATATATTAATATAAAACATGTCATATGAACTCATTGTACCTTGGATTGCATGATATAAAACGTTTGAATTGAATTATATTTACGCTCTTTTTTTTGTTTTGTTTTATATGCAATGAAATTCTGTGAAGTTTTATCCTGGACAGTGCACAGGATCATGTTTCTCTCGCTTTTATGATAGATACATATACTCATGATTACAGCCACCGATATTAGTGTAGGACGGCAAGGTTTTATATCAGCAGGTTTAGTTTTTTGAAACTGCTTGCAGTAACTGCAAGCGTTCGTTGACATTGTATAATATATTGTTTTATTGTTATGTTTGCCCTTTTGTGTTTGCTTATCATTTTTATCGGAATATATAGTTTTAAAATTATATAAGTGGTTTTTTCTGTACTGATTTTGTATACCTTATATTATTGAACTAAATGTCTAGTTTTTGTGTATCGTTGGTTGTTGTAAACTTGTAAAGTTTGTAAAATAACTAAATTGAAATTTGTACTTATGTTAATAAAAATATAATTGATGTATGTTTCCAACTAGGAGGTATAACTAGTAAAACAAAAGTGACCTATTTATTATGAAAATTAAGACACTGGCACCTGCTTACCCGACTCGGAAAATATGCCGTTGCTTTGTACCTTTTTCGAATGAACAATGTATATTATTAACTTTAATTTTTCAATATTGACAATTGACTTTTGAAGTCATTCTGGATATCACATTTAATGGTGATAATTGGCGAAGACTTCATTGATTTTAATTAACCTCTGTGTTAGGTGGAGGTTATCGGAGAAAATGAATTTTTTTGGCCAATATAATACAAAATTGTCGCAAATATATTCAAATCATTTTTTTTTAAATTATTTTATTTGAATTTTCTTTTTTTGCATGTCTTACGAATTTTAATTAAAAGCTAGAAAAGGGTTTAAAGTTAAATATGACTTTTGATCTTGAGGTCAAATTATGATCAGTAAGTACAGCGAAACATAGTAAAAGATAGATGACCGGATGCTTTACATCTAGATAGAGATTGTTTAACCATGCAAAGACAAAAACTTGCAAGATGATACTACACTAGTATACGAACAAACCTCGTGCTAATTTTTTAAAATGTGGGCCCGCATGATAACAACCCGTTACAGTAGGTTGGTTTCACATAAAGAGTTTTGCTGCTGTTCCTTAAACTGTACAGCTTTCACTGTTCAAAGAAACCATTAAAATCGGATTTAAGGTTCAGATTTCGACCGGATGAGTTCGAATTTATCCTCTTATGCGGTCAAAAGAATGCCCCTTTACGCGATCATCCATGACATTTGACATCGAGGTCATTTCAAAAGTCACACGTCATGCTTATTATACGCCCACCGAAAATGTTTAGCTAAAGGTGATGACTGTGGCGGGGCAGTAAAACCTAACTGGGTAAAAGTTACTATTAAAAATTTTTAATTCTTAAGGATGAGTGTGAAATCTTGCAACTCCCCTTTCCCCCTAAACAATTTCACATTTGGGGAAAGCTTTGATTATTATGGATTTTTATTACTGCCTTAGTATATCCCCCCTATTTTAGGTTCATTACATAACAGGATAATTCGTTATTGGTTCCATAAACCAACAAAGTAATCCATTTGACAATATCAGTTTGTACATGTATATCATAATACTAGTAACAAAGAAATTTTAGGAAATATAGTAAGGCCTTCCTGTGAACGAAAAAAAACGTGTATTGGTGATACTGGACTTTTTCGGCATCACACTTTAAGGTATATGCAGTTTGCCTCAACAATAAATGAGCTCCTATCTACTATTACTTGTGTCTACTTTCATTTTCCATTATCAATGACGTATCATTTTATCCAGGAAGATGATTGTTTCTTTTTATAAAAGAATTAACAGGTATTGAAAATTTACAGACATCTAACAACTTGCATCTTAGTACTGGGTATATGAAAATAAACATGCAATAGGGCTACAGCAGTGTTACCAGATTCAAACTTAGCATATTAGCATCATCGAAAAATAGATAAGAATTAAACGTGCATATTTGACTGGATGCTATAGATGTAAGTAATTCCATATATTTTAATATATCATCAAGATATTTATAAAGATTATCTAGCAGATATCTTTTTAGGCCTATATTTTTTAAATGAAACATTTGTTTTAAGTGTTTTGTTTGGTTTATTATTACCTTGGCCAAAATCGAAGACAGGTGTGTTTATATTGGCGGTATATTTATTATCAAAAATGATGATATTTAAACATGACCTTGATATAAATAGTATTTAAATCGACTATCAATAGGATTCTCCAGGTAAAAATTCCCAGGAAAAATACCCTCTGATCTTGTCCTATCATTAGCAGAAAAAAAGAAATGAAGTAACTCCCCAAATGTCAAATAATCGTTATTCTACCTCTAATTACTGTAAGACGAACTTTCATTGGTAAGTTGTATTGTATAATTGGTTTTGGGGAAAGTTATGTAACGACCGAAACAGTTCAGCAACTTTCTTAATTTCTAAGAATTCTGTAATTTTATTATACGTTTTATTTTGATATTGAAATAAATAAAAAAAAAAGCTTCTTATTTGTTTTTTTACCTAGTATGTGTGGTTTAAAACATTTGTCAGAGCTTGAGGACCACCAGTGAAAGCAAAAGCTCTGAAATATGTGTTGAAACCAATACTTGTTCAGTTATCATTGCCTGCAACTTTATTTCGGGATATTTCAACAAATGTGTTCAATGAATGTTAATTACATAAGAATTAATTACTCTCGTTCTATTCTACGTAAAATTTAATTTTTATTTTTTTTTTGGAATTTCAAGTGTTTGCTCCTAAGTAAGTTCATGTTTACGTATAACATTAGATTTACGTGTAAAGGGAATTACAGTCTTATATTTTTAGAATTAAGTCAGCAACTTCGGGTAATTCTTGAGGAACTATTACGTATGCTTTGTATATATAAATTTACGAGTTTCAATAATTTTTTTCACAAGATACAGGGCTACTCTTGTCTTAAAGTTCTAAAGTAATTTTTTATCTTTTTGAAATTTAAAGTTTAGTTATCTACACTTATCTGGTGGAGTATTTTTTTCGTGCAACTTTTGGAAGTATGTTTTAATTAAAATTTTGTTGAGTCGATTCTATATTTGAATCTCGAAAATGGGATGGTAATGATGGATATGTGTTTCACGTCCAGTGGCAAATATCGCATTTGTATTATGACGAGAACATGTATATTGGATATTATTATAGACCCTGCTTTGTACTAGACCGACGAGCTAAGCCAGATATTTAACGTGCCAGTTCAAAAGGGAAACGACGCGTCAACCTTACCAGTCACATTATTCTGACCCCGATCCGACCAGTCTTTATCTTACTCCAAAGTGCTGCGTACTTAGCAAATACCAATTTTCAAGTCTTTGGTTTGTCCCAGCCGTGGACCAAACCCACGACCCCTAACATTTCTCGAAAATGATGATCTCCATCGGAGTATTGTGCATACGTAGCAATTTTCAGTAGATATAAATTGAATAGTGACTTTGGAATAAAATTTTGGATCTGATCAATTGACATTTATTGCAAGAGAGAATACAGTTAGTTTTACCGGTTTTTTCATTTTTAAATTGGACACTATGGGAAATTGAATGAACTTCAAAACTTTCAAATATCCAGTCATTCCTGTGACTAGTGTCATTGATTACTTACTATCAAGTAAGTAAGGAAGGTTTTTTGATAACCATGAATTTACCAAGAAATTGGTTATATTTAACCATGTGTATGTAAGAATAATCCTTCTTTCGTTATTAAGCTATACGATCGTTGTAATTCTTTCCAAAGAATATGTTTTAAATTTTAAAAGGGGGAAATACAGCGACTACATTAACCGAAGGCATTTCGCCATATACAATATGTAATCGAGATTCAAATAAGATGCACAATATATATACAGATACAGAATGGAAGTCTTATGTATACTTCATATAAAACTGTTTTTTCGTATAGAAATTGTAATGTAATCCTTTTCACATTAATAAGTTATAATATGTGTCTTTATTGTTTTGGTTTCAGACTCATTTTGACGCTTTTACGATTAATTCAATACAACGATGGATCTTCGTATACCATGTCGTACTACCCAATTGTAAAACAATTGCAGTGTTCAGCGTAAATCGATAACCTAAAACCTTGGGCCTTTTATAAAAAAATTGAAACAAATGGATATCAAACTAACACCCCGACTCAGTACTAATGATTTTATCAATGAAATAATCGAAACCGATTCTAAATTACCTGACATTTGCTTAACTAGAAGCAGTAGTAACGAAGATGACATTCAACACGTAAACGGAGCAAATTCAAGCGGATACAACTCGAATTCAACTCTAGACGAGCAGCAAGAAACACAAGATTCCCTTCCTACTAATCACAAGAATAACAGCGGAGGAAGTCTAGAAAGTGGAAGCAGGATATCCAATGACGATAGTGCAATAAGTTTAACGCTTGATTTTACTAATGAAGATCAAGATCAAGATCAAATACCTACGACTCAGGAAACGTTGTTAGGACAGACCAATGATACTGATAAAAATATCAAACATTCACCATCAACTCAAAATACATGTTTGAGATTGAGGCATTGGTTATTCCTGTCATTAACTGTTAACTTTTTGTGCATCGTATCCATTAGTGTTGTCTTCAGTTTACCTCGTAAAACAGGCCATATAGAAACCTTATGTGTTCTGGAAAGTAACAAACCCCCATTGTGTTCAAATTTTTCATCAGCACATCTTCAGTATTTAGTTCACGTCGTAAGTATCTTTCTATAAGATTACTAAGTTTACATTTATATTAAAAATATGGTAAACATTACAAGGCCAGGTAATAAAATTAGAAAACAAAACAAGTTACTAAACTGTATTCAACAGTAGCGTGAGTTAAAAAGAAAGCCTCAATTTGGCAAAGTTGACCTTCGATATATTTGGTTATTCATTTAAAGATCCCTTTTGATCAACTTCTTATATGTCTACATATTTATATTTATGGCTTTCACATGTTTGTGTTTGAGCGTTCTTGATGAAGGTATACCAGAATAGCGTTTAGGATGCACCAAATCTATTAAGTGTTATTTTAATTGTATGTCAATTCCTTTTTTTTTTGTCTCTATATTATATTTATATTTAATTTGAATCCTCTGATTTTACGCATGCTTTTTTCATTTTTAGATGCAAATTAAAGACAATCAAAGTCTACCTTTAGGAGCTGCACAAACCTACATTTCCTTCCACAGTAATAAAGGTAAGTTAATATTTTTCGCGGATATGTGTGTTAGTTTCTATATGTCCCATTTTTCATGTTCTGAATCTAACTGTTAACGTACTTATTAATTTGAGATTTCACTTAATTGAATACATATTTTTAATCTGATACCGAGATAAGATAATAAAAAAGGAACTAGTTATGTAACGTATTAAGAAGGAAAATGACATCAAAATACACGAAGTCATTTTAGATTTTAGCTTAAGAATAGTGTGAAAGAACTTGGTCAAAATAAAGCAACAACAAAAAAAAGACACAAAAAACTAAGAACTTCTAGAAGATGTTAAAAGATCTATCATATCATGACATCTCCATAATATTTATTGTATGGAATTAAATTGCGAGACATGTGTTACCCTTAGGGTGCTACATAAAATCTAATTCTTTTGTCCAACAGTGGGTCTGTACTGACGCTGCGGCCTCTCGATGCTGTGCGGAATTAATAAAATCATAGCATTTACTATCGGGATGGACAAACAATCAAGCGAAATGTCTTAGGAAAACATTGCACTCGATGCGCGTTAAAAAAAGTATGAACGGTTCTTCATGATAGGTTTGTAGTTGGTCTGTTCGGACAAAATTTTTCTAACAATCTTGCATGTATCAAAATTTGTCTGTAATATACTTTGGTCAACGCCGTAGTTCCAATTTTCAAGCACACAGTTATATTGTAAACTTATTCTTTTCGTTGCATCCATGCAATTTAAGCGGTTTTATACTATGAATTTAATAATTTGATTGGCAGTTTTCAAAATATTATATGTATTTTTTTGTTAAGGGAGTTTTTGAAGTGCCACATGACTTTCAAAATAAGCACACCATTTAATTTACTACTATTACGAAATTATGTTAAAATTTGCTAACTCTAGTGCCTATCATTTGTGTTCCAAGATGCCCGTCATTTTATTCTCGCGTATAACCTTCAGCATCGGATTTTAAAAGAAATGAAGGAATATATCTAAGTTTCAAAAAGCACCCCAAGAAAGATCCCTTAATCAAAGCGCAGACAATATAAACCAGATATATATATATATAAAATGACTGAATGATAGCCAACGATAAATCTTACGGGGCGATGGATCATATAAATATGATACAGTACACTACAAAATATAATATATAACCAGTCTAAAAGGGTACAACATCACCAAAAAATTACAATAAACGAACAAATGTAACTATAAATATTTCGGATAACAGATATCCTTCATCAATATGAGCACGATGTAAAATGAATCAGATAAATCTATTCTGATTATTGAACTATAGCAATCTTGAATTCTATACAATAAAAAAAGTGAAACAGTTTCACCCGAACATCATATGTAGAGACGCTAATAAATTTTTAAAATTTCCAAAAAACGACTCAAAGACATGCCTAAAATGAAAATAGTAATTATAGATATGAACTGGCACAACTTTAAAATTCCAAAATGACGTCAGTTAAGATGTTACAACAACTGCGTGTAAATACATTCCCAAAAGAACAGCACTGATCGATATAAGCTGGTAAAATATGACAAACAGAGGCTGCGTATTTATCATTCCAAATAAATAGCAGTTTTATAATGAAAAGAAAAAATAATAGTAAATTTGGGCTAAGGTTAAAAGTTGGACGTGGATGCGTACTTGTATATCCCTACCAAATGAAAAGAACCCTGGTATTTAAACTAGTAAAATTCCAAAAATTCCAAAAGAATCCTTAAAACTGTAAGAGTCAAGTAAGGAAGCCGGAGTAACTGGAAACAAATGTCAGGAAAATGAGTGACTCATTCTATTTTTTTTTCATTTATGCCCTCTGGGGAAACTGTCCTTAGCTTTCTTATCCAAAACCTTTCCCGAGCAAGTCTTTCTGCCCTTGACCAACCCTCGTTGTGGTCTATGATTGTGATTGTAAGGTTTTTGAGATCAGCTTGGGCGTGCCCAGGTGATCTCAAATGACGACTTACGGGGAGGTCGGACTTGCTGGTCTCCGAAAAGCTAAGAAAGCTCCGAAAAGCTAAAAGCAAGTCTGAAAGACTTATTTGTGAGAGCTGACGTCTCCTCTAATAAAAGCTGTTCAACTGCAGGATGGTGCAAGTCGTGTGGTAACAGACGATGTCTGACTTGCCAGCAAATACTGAATACTCAAACATTTACTTGCCACTCCACTGGGTCTGTGTACACTATATTTTGTAATGTAACTTGCAAAACACAGAATGTTGTATACCTTCTTCAGTGTCGATGTGGCATGCAGTATATTGGCGAGACAGAACAGCCTTTCAACAAACGAATGAATGGTCATCGAAGTGACTACACCTGCAAGCCCGACCTCCCCGTAAGTCGTCATTTGAGATCACCTGGGCACGCCCAAGCTGATCTCAAAAACCTTACAATCGCAATCATAGACAACAACGAGGGTTGGTCAAGGGCCGAAAGACTTGCTCGGGAAAGGTTTTGGGTAAGAAAGCTAAGGACAGTTTCCCCAGAGGGCATAAATGAAAAAACATAGAATGAGTCACTCATTTTCCCTACCATCACTCATTTTCCTGACATCATTTGTTTCCAGTTACTCCGGCTTCCTTACTTGACTCTTACAGTTTTAAGGATTCTTTTGGAATTTTTGGAATTTTACTAGTTTAAATACCAGGGTTCTTTTCATTTGGTAGGGATATACAAGTACGCATCCACGTCCAACTTTTAACCTTAGCCCAAATTTACTATTATTTTTTCTTTTCATTATAAAACTGCTATTTATTTGGAATGATAAATACGCAGCCTCTGTTTGTCATATTTTACCAGCTTATATCGATCAGTGCTGTTCTTTTGGGAATGTATTTACACGCAGTTGTTGTAACATCTTAACTGACGTCATTTTGGAATTTTAAAGTTGTGCCAGTTCATATCTATAATTACTATTTTCATTTTAGGCATGTCTTTGAGTCGTTTTTTGGAAATTTTAAAAATTTATTAGCGTCTCTACATATGATGTTCGGGTGAAACTGTTTCACTTTTTTTATTGTATAGAATTCAAGATTGCTATAGTTCAATAATCAGAATAGATTTATCTGATTCATTTTACATCGTGCTCATATTGATGAAGGATATCTGTTATCCGAAATATTTATAGTTACATTTGTTCGTTTATTGTCATTTTTTGGTGATGTTGTACCCTTTTAGACTGGTATATATATATATATATATATATATATATATATATATATAAACAAGTCTAAATTGAAAACAACGTTCAAACCTATGATTGCGTAAGATAAAAACCGCAATTTTTATACGTGTGCATGCAGACAAATTTCTTGGTAGAGGGGTCTAAATACAGCACAAACAACATTATATATATATATATATATATATACACGTCTAAACATGTGACAACTTTATGACAGACATTCTCCATCGGATTACACGTGGTTATACAGGGCTAACACCATATTATACATATAATTCGTCTCAAATTTAGCCCAACAATGTTAGATCTTCAAATTTGCGATAACAAATTTTTGTTTTTCCCTCAGCCGGATTATATATATACTACATATAAGTCTAAAGATTTGCACAACGGTACTAATATAAGATGGTAATATACGAAGATGATGTTATAAAATCGTGTTGACAATAATTCTTGACACTGACGAAGGCTATTTGTTAAGCCGAAATATTTGTCAACACGATTTTATAACATCATCTTCGTATATTACCATCTTATATTAATACCGTTGTGCAAATCTTTAGACTTATATAATTTTTTCCTTATCTGCGCAGTATCGTCTATTCTTTACGATCCGGTACATATTAAATTTACTGGTTGGTCCTTTTTATAGACTTCTATATATATAATATATATATATATATATGTTAAGTCTCTTTAAATAAATAGGTAATTCGGATTTTTAATTAATTTTTCCATTATGGTTTTTATTACAGGCGATAAGGAAAATGGCATTATTCCAAGCGCTTTGATGAACAGTACAAAATCGGCACATCGTCTTGTAACAAGAAAAGAAATTTTGTCATTTCACGACAACAAAATAATTATCCGAAAAACAAACACATACTTTGTATCCGTCCAGTTGCTGTTCAAGCGAGAATCAAGGTTGAATCACACGATTCAAGACAATGTCGATGTAACATTAATGAAGAAAAACAGACTAGACAATGTTTATCTTTTGTCTAAAACACTTCCAATTTGTAATGGCAGTCAAACTCTTCAGACCGTTCGAATAGTTGAATATTTTAAACTGAAGAAAGGTGATGAAATTAGCATATTGGTGTCGAAACCTAATTTGGTCTATAAATGTCCCACTTGTAATATGGTTACAGTAATTGAGATCAAATGAAAACGGTACAAAATAGGAAATTGAACTTTTAAAAATCATATGGATATAGTTGTCTATGCTATTGCATTTCAAGCATACAATTGCCTGAGAACATGTATTTGAGTCTATGCAAATGTTTTACTTATTAAGTGAAAAGGATATGCATTTTATTTGATCATTTGTTAAAATGTGCTTTTTTAAAAGGTATTGTTTGCTTAATTTCTAGTCGTAAAGCATATGTAAACCAGTAGATATACCAAGAGAACACATATGATAAACGATATCAAAGATTGTACATTTATTATTTTATTTGTTATAATTATATTTTGTTTGTCACATTTGAATGAACTAGTCTTCCTATATGCCATTTCATAGGAACAATCGTTATAAAAACCAGGACATATGTATTTTTCATAGAAGGACCATTCAGATATTTTGTACATTGTTGTCCAATCACAGAAGTATCAGAACCATCACAGGAAATGCAAAATTTGTATATAATCAAGACTTCTTCAAGGGCAGCTTTTACATCTATTAAATGGCATTTGTTATATATGTTATTTTGTTTATTAATTTTATTTATTGTTGATGAAATGTTTGTTTTTAGTTTATTCATTGCTCAGTTCGTAGAACAAAACAAAAACATTTTGTTTCCTTCAAAAGGTTGTTAAGAATGTAAGAAATACTTTTTTTAATTCATACAACTGTTACAAATGTTGTTTAAAAAAAAATATCCGATTGGTTACAAAAGTGGTTTAATCATTACTCATATTGCAATTTTTAAACTACATGCAAGTACAAAAAAAGAAGTTAATCATAGGAAACATTCCTTGTGTAGTTGTTATGTAACTTTTCAAGGTATAATGACATCATACTGATATTTAAAGTCCAAAAGTATATTTGAGGAATAGAAAAGAATTGTTTATTGTTTCATTATTAAAAGGTGATATCTTCCTAGTTGACGTCATCCAAAGGAAACCGAAAGAATTCTTTTCGTATGAACCAACAGGATAGCAGAGATTTAAATCAGGTTCAATGATTAGCGATGTTTGACACGTTATCTGTTACCGAATAGCTATACAGTTACGCTTTATATAGAAATTTAGAAATATGATGTATAAATAAAATAGTTTATATTTTTTGAGACTTAGTCTTTTGACAATTGACAAAAAACAATTACCCTTTTATCTTTAAGTTCTGTCAATTAAATCCAGGAGTTTATTCAATTGACAACAGTTCTCTCTCTGGATCACGAAGACCGGTTGGGTGTCTTTACCGACGGATCACTTTGTTGGTAATCATTCAATTGTGTGTAAAAAAAAAACGTGCACCTGCTTTATAAATATATGATGGGAGTTGTATCCCTTGCTTTGTGTTTCATGCTCACTATGATGAAATTTTATTTACTATAATTTAATATAGGACATACAAAGAAACAAACAAATTCCCTTCCATTACTAATCAGCTGGTTTTTTTGTTGTGATATGTAGGAAAATATATCACATCTTTGTCTCTTATTAGTGTCCCGTATAAATAAAACATTCAAGTTAACATCAAAATGCAAATATCTTGGAAGGCCTTCAATATGAAAAATAGGAATTGTGGTATGATTGCTTATGAGACAACTATCCATCGGAGACCAAATGACGTAGACGTAAACAACTCTTACATTTATACATAAAAAAAAAAATGACAAAATACCGAACTCTAAGGTAAATACAAAAAAGGGGTCCATAAAATCTGACAAATTCAAACACTCGAATGTATCAACCAACGGAACGAATGGAAAACAACTGTCATATTCCGGACTTGGTGCAGGCATTTTCCGAATATCCGAATTAAGAAAATAGTGGGTTAAACCTGGTTTTATAGCTAGCTAAACCTCATATTAGTTATTTTATATCTATTATGATATTGCTCTCTCGTGTAAATCAAGTGAATATCCCTTCCAAAATAACTTCAGTATGTAGTAGTATACCATAACAAGACGTCTTTTTATACATATTGTAGCGTGTCGTTTTGTATGGATTCTTGTTCGTCAATGGTTTTTTTTGAGGTAGCGTCAGTTACGTAAAATCCATGGCACAAAGAAAACAAACCACAACACAAAGTCTCAAATAAAATCACAATGTAATCTGTTAAAGATAGAATATCAGTTTAACATAATAAAGCTGAATAATTTCTGTTACTGAAAATAATCCTTTTATCTCTCTAACACAATATTACTGTCCTCTCGTTCTCTAACTATCCTCTTAACAACTCCTCTCTCTGATCTCTCTCGTATCCCCTTATATACCTAATTACAGGCGGTACCCCGACGGTTCCAAAGATGGGGTACCTGGCATTTCTAAAGATATACCGGACGGTGAAATTGAATAATTTAGACATCGTTCAAATAAACAAAATAGCGGGCGGTACCCTATTGAAATGTAATTTATATTGAAATGTTATTTAAACCAAAAGTATTAATTCAAAGACATGTTACGTAATAATAAATTAAACTATCAAAACTAAAATCGCTACAATCTGTATAAATTTGATCAAAAGATAATCAAAGACCGAGAAAATTAATAGATCAAATGGGGAGTTGGTTAAATTTTGTAATTGATAAATCATTGCCCTTTTAAAAAGTACTTGAGAATTACTGCACTTATTAAAATAAAATTGAGAATGGAAATGGGGAATATGTCAAAGAGACAACAACCCGACCAAAGAGCAGACAACAGCCGAAGGCCACCAATGGGTCTTCAATGCAGCGAGAAAATCCCGCACCCGGAGGTGGTACTCAGCTGGCCCCTAAATAAAATTGTGTACTAGTTCAGTGAAAATGGACGTCACACTAAACTCCAAAACATATAAATGAACTAATATTAAAAAACATACAAGACTAACAAAGGCCAGAGGCTCCTGACTTCGGACAGGCGCAAAAATGCGGCGGGGTTAAACATGTTTTGTGAGATCTCAACCCTCCCCCTATACCTCTAGCCAATGTAGAAAAAAGAAACACATAGCAATACGCACAGTTAAACTCGGGTTTCAGTTACATTCAACATTTATTGATTCAGAAAGTTTCCTCTTAACAGTTATATACAGATACCTTAGTTAGAGATCTCTGTCTGTCCATTATCGCCTCTCTTGGAATCAAATTGAAGTTTCTCCTGTATAAATAAATTTAAAATACATGTTAAGATGGACCATGTCGAAAGTTGCTGTTTACAGTGATAATATTCATACAGTAGTAAAAATGGGTAGATGATTGATTGATTGATTGATTGTTGTTTAACATTCAGTGTCAAATATGTCATGCATGTTCAGGACGATAACATTGAATGGATGTATAACTTTGCCCTGTCTAAATATAAGGCATAACATAAACAACTAAAAGCTCTGTCTGTTGAATGTACACGTAGCAGAGCTTTCACATTTCAACCTACATGGAAAGTCGCAATACATGAGTTTGTAAGTATGTTCAAGGTCGAAACTTGTAAAGCCAATGCACAAGTTATTTGGAATACAAAATGCAGAAATTGAATGAACGCTGTAACTAGTAGAACAACTTTGCCTTAGTGGTTTATTTAAAAGTAGAATAATCTTATCTTATTAACAAATATATTTTTATTACCACCAGATTTAGTGTTTTCAAATTGCGTCTAGTGTTTCTATGTATTGGTAAAACATTTTTTCTTGTCCCCTCTTAGTGAAACTGAGGTGTATAATATCATCCTTTGTTTATTTATTTTACCTCCTCATCTTGAGGGCCACATACAGATTTCACCAATATGTAGCTTTCTATCGTCTCGAGGCTAGATAAGTTATGAATGTAAAGCAAAGGATGCAACTCCTTCATGCAAAGTTGTTCTAAGACGGGTTTTTGTTGTTCTGTTTAAGTCGTTTTATTTTTTGCACTCTCAAGTGTTTCATATTTTTAAGCTGTCTGTATTTTAGGTATCGAACAATATAAGGACGGTTTTGGTGGTTTTGTTTAAGTTGTTTTTTTCTTTGCGTTCTAACATACAAATGTATTTTACATTTTTCGGGTGTCTATATTTTAGGTATCGAACATACTAAGATAATACAAAAACAAGCACTGACAAGGTTTGATATTTTCACAAGGCTGAATTTCTAAACTTCACTCATTTTGGAAAACGTGGGATAAAATAATTTAATAATTATAAGACTATCGCATCTGGTTTGACACTTTACATCGAGTCGCCGAAGTAAAAACTACCATATAGTTATGTACCGATATGCTAACACGATAGCAGACTGTAAAAAAAAAAAACTTAAATTTATTTTTTCTTTCCATTAGTCACAGTCATTCATGTGTGCATGCTTTGTATTTAAAATACTTTCCATTGTACGACAGAAATTATTAACTTGAACACAACTTCGCTGCGAAATTGTGGATAGTAGAGGGTTCTTTTAACATCAAGGGCATACGATACAGTTTTGATCCCACGATGATTTTTTACGAAAATTTGAATACAAGCTAATTTTCACCTAGTCAATTCAAAAATGTAATGAAAAAAATACCTTCATGTGCTACTTTTAGAGAAAAATAGGGTAGACATTTACTCAAAATTTCGGTTTCTTGGACATATATATCCTTTGGACAGACATACCGAACTTTTTGTTTCAAAAGATAACCACGAGCGGATTATTGTAAAAACATTTTGGATATCTTATCATAACTATGCTAAAAATTTGTGCAACAATTGTTTAGAAATAATTTATCTTTTGCTGTATATTTATCTAATTTAAAAACAAAATTATCGGTGATTTTTTCATAAAAATTGGTACCAATAATCTTCATACATAATCAAACCAAACGCCATTTAAAATTCAGGGGGTCGATGTACTCGTTTTATTTCAAGCTACTGATTAAAATCAGTCGAAAAATGCATCTTTTCCCCAATATGTCACAGTTTGAAGTGGCGAAAAATAACCTCATTACCTCCCCTGTAACTGTATTGTATGTCCTAAAGGTGTATACTTTTACACTTCATCCAAAACCTACAATTATGCTTAATATAGTTAAGAAAAAACCTTGTCCAATAAAGATTGTCCTAAATTTGCTTAAATATAGTTTGTTTCAAAATTGAAAATAAAGAAAAGTTGTTATTTTAAGAACATGTAGAAATACTTGTTGAATGTTTTTTTTAAATATTATTAAAATAAATAATCATAGGGTGGTCCATTAAAGTTAAAAACTCGTGGACTTGATCACTGAACTATTATGTATTATTACCAATATAACCCATGTTGCCTACTTGTATATGATCCGTGATGCAACGTCCATTATTTTCCACGATGTCGTATATGATTTTATCATTTTGTTTTACATTAAGTGGCAAATATTTCATGCTTATTCCTGTCTAGAAATAATAAGGCAAATAATGATTAAGGTATGTTCACGGCTGTCATTCGGTATATCGAGAAAAAAGATCGTGAAAGAATACCTAACGGTGGTCAAGCATTGCGATCGGATCGTGAATGTGATTAATTGTAATTCTACTTCAAATCTGTGAAAAATCTGCTGTATTTTTAAAACGCGGAACAAATCCGAAACAAAAAATATGTCTGTCAAAATGATTCAACTTTCTCAATAATACTGTCCAATAAGATAAAGAAAATATGCAGTACTTTATGAGAAAACACAAAAGGCGCAACACGAGTCTATGGGATTCATAAAAAAAAAACTCGTTTTGTACCTATAATGGTCACATTCCAATATATAATGATATATTTGAAACTGAACCTTTGGTGTGTCAGATAGTACAGTAAAATAAAAGGTTTTATTTGCTTGAAACCGTTCATTTTTATTTTTTTTTGAAAATATTGAATTTTGTTGATTTTTTATCAAAATTGACCGTGAAAGATCGGGCAACGCATTGTCTTGATCGTGAAAGACAAGGCGTGACCAGACGGACGCAGGACGCTTGCGTTTTTTTACCTGTAACACTAAAGGACATTTGCGCTTCAAACATTATGGACATTTGCGCTTTAATCATTGATACACCTGGACAAAATTGACAAGACATTTGCGCTTTTTACCTATAATAGTTTACCTGTAGTCTTTAGAAAATTTACCATAGTCATGGAAAGATGTTCACATATTCTTTGAAAGTTCTTCCGAACA